CAAACTTCTTCATCAGATTTGATCTAAACCTGTTGAGGACTTCATGCCTGTAAAAGTAAAATACTGCATTTTTAAATAAGCTAATGAGCACAGTGTCCTTTATGTATTCTGTATCATAATCAAATAATCTTTTACAGAAATATTAGACCTGAGATCAGTCTTTGTATCTTCACTCTTATAATCTAATGACTGATTCACAGACGCGTCACTCCTCATAGACACACAGCTGGACTCCGCTTCTGATCTCTTCTGATGAACTGAACTATAACAGAGAGAGAATAAAGTGAATCCTCTGAATTACCATATTTAACAAAGTATACTTATATATTATTTAAACAATCACTTTAAAAAGCACTTCAGAATCATTTACACTATTTTAATACAAAAGATGTTAAATAGAACTGAGTGCTTTCACAAATGTGTCTCTCTGTGTAACACTATATATGTTAAAATATCAGATAAAGATATTTAAAGATAAAGATAACACTATTTTGTGTTAATATAACATGACATGTTGTAATAATATTTATATAGAAATGTACCTGAGATCAGTCTTTGTATCTTCACTCTTAAAATGTATTGGATTTTCCATAGACCAATCACTCCTCATAGACACACAGCTGGGCTCTGCTTCTGATCTCTTCTGATGAAATGAACTATAACAAAACAGATTTAATCCTTTATGATGATAATTTTCTTCTACATTCTTTAAGTATTGTTCATCAAAAACACTCCATGAGGAGGGTTTTTTTTACCTTTTTAAATAAAATCTTCATTTTAGCTTTAAAACCTCCAGACACAAAAACCAGTGGAGACTCCAATCTTCCGTCATTCAAGGTGATTTAATACAGTGTTTATTCAAAGTACCTGCATCCTGGAGAACATGAGACGCGGCGTTCACTCAGATACACAATGTTAGTCGTGTGTTAACAAATGATCAAATACACCACAGACAACACCAAACACCAATCAAACCACGTTCATCTGCTTGAAAAACAAAACATTAAAATATATAAAAAACATACGTCCTTTAGAGGAGATATGAATGCGGAAGTCACTGTAAAGCACCTGAGCATCAGCACTCACCTTATTTACACAGATTCACAGAATCACCGCCTTTCTATGAAGCAGCTACACGTAAAATCATCGCTTAGCTTTTATAAAGGTTCCTGTGAAACACTTTGATATTCTGTAAAGAATCGACTCTGGCTGTTTAAATGGAGAAACATCAACTCTGAACTTTTACTTTCACTTTTTGTTTGTGACAATGATGGCGTAACACGCATGCGATATCAAGCCTAATCCGGTGTCAAAAATAAACAAATGAAAATTTTGTAACAAAAAAAATAAATAAAATTAATTTATGTTTATATATACTGTATATTTGAGCAAATATTTAAATATTTTTGGCCATTTTTTGTATATTTTGAAATATTAAAAAACATATTTGAATTATTATTATTTTTTTTTTTTTTTGCACCATACGGGAAAAGCCTTTGTGAGGCAGGCAGAAATATTGCTCTGATAATTATATATCTCATAACGCACTGATTTAATGTAGAAACCTTTTTCACTCAGAAAATTGCGAGAAACTTTCACAGTTAATTACAAATAAATGGCAAGTAACACATTGAATTCAACATGACATTCTGAAGTAGAAAAACTTTTCTTGTAAAGCGTAGTGTGTTTGAATATTTGTGAATTGAAAACAATGACAAATATCAGTGTGTTTTCACACATAAAGCTTGAGCATCATCAGACCGGAAAGTGTCACATGAATATATGTATAAACAATAATATCACGTTTGTCATGATAATGCTGTGTAGATTATGGGCAATTGGCATAAAACATGAGTGCTTTATAACATTTCAGGTAAAAACGACATGTATTTGAGATCCTGTAATTCGTCACTGTAGTTATAAAGTTCAGCCAAGTGTGTTTGATTTCCTCACATTTCTTCACAGTGCCATAGTTTTCATTATTAATGTGAGAGATGTTTCTTATGGAAGCAATTACTGTATGACAACAAAAGAAATGACCTTGTTTATTGTATATTCTCACTCTATCAGACTATATGAGCCATAAAAGCCTGATGGAGTAAATATGATACTCCAAAAAAAAAATCTGACTATTATTTCATATGTCAGGCTTTATACACATTTACAACTTTAAATAATAATATTAATAATTAGAATAATAATCATCAATTTTTCACTTAAAACAGCAAAAAATAAATAATAGATAAATAAATCAAATAAATAAATGTTACAAAAAAATAAAATTATTTGCCTCAATTGTTCTCTTAAACAGCAAAAAAGAAGATAATAACAATAAATTATAAAATTCATTGTCTCAGTTGTTTCTCTCAAACAGCAAAAAAATAATTAAACTTAAATTATAATAAATTAAAAACATGTAATAATAATAATTAATATAATTAATAATAATAATAATAATTTTTTGATAATTCACCTAAAATAAATAAAATAATAATTCACCTGCTGATCACTAAAGTAACAGCACACTTCTCCTCAACAACACATGATTGAAGGAATCATTGATATCAGGACGATGCACACTCTGAACTGAACTATAAGTGTGAGCAATCACTGATAATTGCAGTAAATGAGTCCAGTTTGTTTTTGACACACAGAGACTGTCCTGAACTCGTGCTGGATCTTCAATTTAGACAGAATCTCGTTCCGTCTCATTATCAGGAGATCTGACACTTGATCCGCGGCGCGACCTTTTTCTGCTCAGAGGTCGACTGAAACGCCGCAGAAATCACTGCTCTGAACGAAATGTGCATCAGAGTTTCCATTAATAACAGAGAACATCTCCGCTGACCGGCCCATCTGACCCCAAAACTCATTTAGAGCTTCATTTCAATTGTTTTATGAACTGCGGAATCAATCAGTAAATGACACGAGAGTCACTCGAATCATCAGAGATTCACTGAAGTTCAGCTAATTAAAGTCAGGAAAAAGTCAGAACAGATGAACGTCAGTCTTTCTCTCAGTTTGATCGTAGACTTTAGTCAGGGTCAACAGCATATTTTATTTTACACCACATACTTATTTCATTTGATTTCATTTGAGTTTATTTTTATTTATTTTAGAATGTCAGGGTCATCAGCATATTACAGTTTACATGATATACAAATTTTCACTGGATTTTATTTTAGAATGCCAGAGTCAAAAGCATATTTAATTGTACACCGTTTACTAATTTTATTTTCATTTATTTTAGAATGCCAGGGTCAACAACATATTTCATTTTACACCATATACTAATTTTATTTTATTTCATTTTATTTTTGTTTATTTTAGAATGTCAGGGTCAACAGCATATAAAATTTTACATAATATACTAACTTTTATTGCATTTTATTTTAGAATGCCAGGGTCAACAGCATATTTAATTTTACACCATTTTATTTTATTTTATTTTATTTTATTTTAGAATGTCAGGGTCAACAGCATAATTAATTTTACATCATGTACTGATTTTATTTATTTTGGTGCTTATTCTGTTTACTAAACGTTTAAAATATTTGCAAGATAAAAATAAGAAATTCATTTTTTTTTTATTTTGTAAAATGTAATAATTTTTTACTTTTTATTGAATTATTTTAAAGGGGTCATATGACGTTGCTAAAAAGAACATTATTTTGTGTATTTGCTGTAATGCAATGTGTTTATGTGGTTTAAGGTTAAAAAAACACATTATTTTCCACACACTGTACATTATTGTTTCTCCTCTATGCCCCGCCGGGTTTGAGACTTTAGTCTTTGCAACTTTAGGGATCTTATCTATGCACAAATAGCTTGTAACACTCCAAAGAGAAAGGAAAACTTGAAATTGCATCATATGACCCCTTTAATGTAAAACGGCCACCATGACTGGTCATTTGTTGC